TGGGCATCATTGTTTTGTTTTGGACTTTAGAGGAAAGCTTCCAATTTTTCCACATTCAGTATGATCTTAGCTGTGGGTTTGTCATATATGGCCTTTATTGTGTTGAGGTACATTCCTTCTATACCCAGTTTGTTGAAGGTTTTATCATGAAGGACCACTGAATTTACTGAATACTTTTAAAAAGAATCTATTGAAATTATCATATGTTTTTTGTTCTTGATTATGTTAATGTGGTATTTTATATTTATTTATTTATTTGCATATGTTGAACCATCTTTGTATTCCTAGGATGAGTTCTACATGATCATGGTAATGATCTTTTTAATGTTTCCTGATTTGGTGTGCTAGTATTTGTTGCAGATTTTGGCATCTATGTTCATTGGGGATATTGGTATATAGTTTTCTTTGTTCTTGTTCTGTCTTTGTCAGGTTTTGGTATCACTGTAATGCTGGCCTTATAGAATGAGTGTGAAAGTATTCCCTCCTTCAATATTCTGGAATAGTTTAAGTAAAATTGGTATTAGTTCTTTTTTAAATGTTGGCAGAATTCAGCAGTGAAGCCAGGTCCTGGACTTTGTTTGATGAGAGATTTTTTTATTACTGCCTTGATATTGTTATTCATTATTGGTCTGTTCAGATTTTCTATGTGTCTATGATTCAATCTTACTAAGGTGTATATGTCCAGGAATTTATTGATTTTTTTCTAGATTGCTAATTTGTTGGCATATAGTTGTGCATAGTAGTCTCTTACTATCCTTTTATTTCTGTAGAATCAGTTATGTCTTCTTTTTTATCTTTGACTTCTTTCAAAAGAAGTCAAGAGGTTTCTCTTTTTTTCCTTAGTTTAAACCCATGCATTTACAAGCAAACAATTTTCAACAAAGGCACCAAGAACACGCATTGGGTATAGGACAGTCTCTTCAATAAATGTTCCTGACAAAACTGGATACCAACATGCAAAAGCATGAAAGTAGACCTCTATCTCTCACCATATACGTAAATCAACTCTAATTGGATTAAACACTTACATGTAAGACCTGAAACTATGTAACTACTAGAAGAAAACATAGCAGAAACAGTTCATAAGTTAGACTAAGCAAAGATTTTTTGAATAAGACTTCAAAAACACAGGTAATAAATGCAAAAACAGACAAATGTATTGAATCAAACCAAAATTCTTTTTACATAGCAAAGAAAACAATGAATAAAATGAAGAGACAGAATGGTAGAAACTATTTACAAATTATGCATCTGATAAGTAGTTAATATCTAGAATATATAATGAACTCAACTCAATAGCAAAAACAAAAACACTTCAGTTGAAAATGGGCAAGAAGTATAAATAGACATTTCTCAAAAGAAGACATACAAATGGCAAACAAATATGTTAAAAAATACTCAACATCATTAATTATCAAAGAAATGTAAATCAAAACCACAATGAGATATCACCTCATCCCAGTTAGAATGGTTATTAATAAAAAGAGAGAAAAAATTGCTGGTGAGGATGGAGAGAAAGGGAACTCAAACACTATAGGTGGGAATGTAAACTGGTTCAGCCATTATGGAAAACAGTATGGAGGTTCTTCAAAAACTTAAAAATAGAGCTACTATGTGGTTCAACAATTCCATTACTGGGTATGTATCCAAAGAAAATGACATCAGTGTGTTGAAGAGACATCTGCAAACCCATGTCTATTGTAGCAATATTCAGTCACAATAGCCAACATATGGAATCAACCTAGATGCATCTACAGATAAATGGATAAAAAAATATGGTATACACACATACGCGCGCACGCACGCATACACACACGGAATTCTATTCAGACATAAACCAAAATTTGTGGCAACATGGATGAACCTGGAGGACATCATGTTAAATGAAATAGGCCAGGAACAGAAAAGCAAGTATGGCATTATCTTCTTCATATATAGATTTTTTAAAAGTTGATTCCATAAAACTAGAGGATAAATTAAGTAGTTTCCAGAGACTGGGGGTTTAGGAGGTAGAGGGACCAAGAGAAATTGGCCAATGGGTACGAAGTTACAATTGGATAAGAAGAATAAGCTTTCATGTTCCATTGCAAAGTAGAGTGATTATAACAAATAACAATGTAGGCATATTTTAACATAGCTAAAGAGAAGATTTTTAATTTCACCATAAAAATGATAAATGTTTAAAGTGTTGCACATAGTAATTAGCCCAATTTGATCATTATACTATGTATTTATGCATTGAAATACCATATTTACCCCATAAATAGTTATAGTTATAATATTCTAATTATAAATTAAAAGAACAAATAAATAAATTGGAATAAAGAAGTGCTGATTCATAAAATAGTTGAGGATTAAATGAATTAATATAAACAAATCATTTACAGTTCATGGTACATGGTAAGTATTCAATACATATTAGCTGATACTATTCCCAAGTAGCAGAAAGAAGAGGGCCCTTTTCAATTTTGGACATAAACATTATTCAAATTTAGTTTGCTTTTCCATGAAAAGTTTTAAGGTGACATTTCAAATTTGGAAGGGAGTATTTTCGTAAATTGAACTTCACATGCATAGACAACTAAAGAAGCCAAAGAAAAACATAATTAATCAAAACCAAAGAAATATAAGCTATATTCCTAATTTTTTTTTTTTTTTTTTGCTTTTACAGTTCTAATTTATGTGGAATAACTACCATTTCCATTTTCTCTGTGTATAAACTTCCCGCATGTTTGAGTTACAGATTTTAATGCAGCTTCAGTCTCTTCAGCACTTTCTACCTTCAATCAAAGATAACTCAAAGAGTTGACTGTTAGGCTTGAAAAGTCTTTATATATTTCTCAGCTAAAAGCAATACAGTTATCTATGTCTCTTTTCTTCTAAGCAACAGGATTTGCCATACCCTAATCCATAGTTTCTCATTTATAAAATCATACTTTTTCTTTGCAACAGGATATACTTTTTATTCTATCAATACAGGAGTATACATTTTATTCTTTCATGTTTTTATAACATTTATGTTTCTAAATTGTATTTGTTTTGTGCTGCTATAATAAATTTCTGTTCATTATAAATTACTTAAAATGGCTTAGGGTTCAGGAGGCTGAGAGCACTAAGATCAAGGCACTGGCATCTGGTGAAGGTTTTCTTGCTGCATTATGCTAGAGCAGAAGGCAGACTGGCAAAGGAGCCTGAGAGAGGGTGGAAAACAGAGCAAAAAGGATCTGAACTCATTCTTCTATAAAAAATCCATTCCTGTGATAACATAACCATTCTCATGATAACAGTATTAATTCATTCATGAGGGCAGAGCTCTTATTGTATTCACCTATGGAAGTACATATTTTAGTATTGTCACAATGTCAATTAAATTTCAAAATAAATTTTGGAGGGGGCAATCAAAGCAAAACAATAATAAACATTTATTTTAGAGTCGCCACATCAGGCTTAGCAGAACTACAACTCAAATAAACTTGTTGATTAAATCATTTATACTTTATTATTATTTTAAAAGCTGAAAACAGTATTATTGCAGAATTATATATAGTGCAGCATGTCTCGAAAACAATATACAAATTGACCACTCTAACATTTAGAAACTGTTGTGTCGTAAACACTTTTTGTTTATTATAGAAGAAACATATATCAATCTAAATAAAAACAAATATAAAAGTACAATGTAGATATAGATAGTTAGCATTCAAAGTATACAGGTAACTACTATTAATTTTCATACCATTATTTAATATAGAAAAATATTATGGGATATAATTTAACACCATTCATGATATATCATATGACAAATATAATATGGTAATATAATACATATTTTCTAACATAGTATTTATATTCTAAAAGCTACTTGGTGACCTTTATACAATTAACAATATGTACTCACTCTATTTCCATATTGTAAAATATTCTTTGAGAAAATTATTTAATCATATATATGTTCTATACACTACTTAAAAATTGCTTTATTGTGTGATATTTGTTTCCAATATTATATTATTATTAAAAGTGATGTTGTACTGTATATACTCATCCATATATCTTATATGCTTCTTTGTAATTTGTATTAAATAAAATTTCCTAAAAGTATACTTTTATGTCAAAAGGTCTAGACTTTTTCATAATTTGAGTAAATGATGTTAGATTATAATTTTGAAGTAGGATTTATGTTCTTGGACATGTGAAAATAATAGTAACTGTAGAGCATTTGGAAATTGTTGAAATAAAAACATATAAATCATTTATAATCTTGTGATTTAATATTCATTTAAATATTTTAATATATAAAATAATTGTTACACATGTGGATATGCCTACTTTTCTGCATATATGTACACATAGAGAGATAAAAAGACATTTTTTATAAATATATATGAATATATATATCCATCTATATCAATCCATTTATCTATCTAGTTTATTTTTGTTATTTGCTATAAATATGTTCTGTAAAGTCACAGTGAACAATGAATTGGTGAATGCTGACTCTTTGCTCCTAGGGATAATCAGGTCCATGCAAGATGCTGATCATAACATTTTCATCAGTTGATCAATGCATAAATTTGCTTTATCTGTGTTGGTGTTTAAATACACCTTATTTAATATATATTGTTGATATATGAACATTCAACTCACCCACGGCCAATACCACTATACTTTATGCACAAATGAAGATCATTTAACAGGTATCTTCTCAGCAAAATGCATCACATCACCATTTTCTCATCTTTAGGAATGCTGCATAGCCCATTAACACTCTGTGTGGGAGCCATTTAAAACAGCAAAATCAACAACAAAAGACAGAAAAATGTGACAAATGTGACACTAAATAGTCTGAAAAAAGTACACTTGCTTTTATAACAGTATAAAAGTTGAAATAAGAAGGGAGATCACCATTAACAAGGTGATTTTTTTTTTTCTTTTCCTGCCATACTTTATTAGAAAGATAAAACAGAATCTATGTACATCAAGGGTCACAGCCAGGACTGGCCACTCTCCTCTGCACCTGGAGAAAAGGGCTTGATGCATGTAGGAACTGGGCTTACAGGCCAAGCAAAGATCTTTGTAGCCCACTACTCAATTCCTTCTTGCTTGTCTTTAATGGCCACCCGGAACCGCTCTTCCAGCAGAGACAGCTCGCTGATGAGGTCGGTGATGGCATTGGTGAAGGCCTCCTGAGGGCTGTGGTCCGGTGTGGTCTGCACGCGGATGATGATCTTGTGCTCCAAGGGGTGGGGGACTTTGTAGCCAGCAAAGAGCACCTGTGGGTCCTTCAGCAGCTGTGATTTAATGATGTTTCCTAGTGTGTGGTCTTCTTTGTTGATAGTGAACAAACAGGCATTGGGTACCTTGGTGTCCTTGTTAATGGTGATCTTCTTCTTATTTCAGTGCTTTGTTCAACCTCATCTGGAAATCTGCATGATGGGTGAATTCAAATACTTTGCTGCTCTGCACAAGTCTATGAATTACCATGAAAGTGATGAGAGTACTGATTTGGAGGTTACAAATACATTTTAATAAGTTAATGAATTGAAAATATGGAATCCTCAAATAATATGGATTGACTACATATATGTATGTATGTAGATATATATAACTATATATGGAGAGAGAAAGAGAGAGGGAGATCAATGCATTTATGTCCACAGCTAGCCCATAACTCAAAGAATATTATCTTTTAGCAGAAAAATGGGTTCACTTTGTTCCAGAGTCTGAAGATAAAATGTGTCCTAATTTTTACCATTAGATTGCCTCTCTGCTTTAATACAACAGTCAAGTGCACCAAAGTTCTTTCTCTTTTGATCTTCATTATTCCTTTTATTCCTGCACCACTAACCCTATCCTCACACACACTAGCAGGTTGATAGTCTCATGATACCCTGGAAGATGAGATTTTCCTCAGATTTCATATAGGTCAAATAATGAAACACTGGTGTTGAGGCTTTCATAGAGCTCCAAAGAGGACTGCGCCCTTTCTTTATATTGTGAGTTGTTAGTATTTTGAGGCTATTATGCCATTAAGCCAGGAGTGGGGTTTGGGGGTAGTGCTAAATTAAATTGCCACAAAACCCACTGTTCTTATTGAGCTTTAGTAGTTTTTCTTGAATAAACAACTTTCCTGTTTCTTGTAAACTTTGTGTTAGTTTTTAGAATTCAATGTTTGTGAAATTTATCTTGAATAAATATTGTACTCTTGATGGAAAAATTGAGTTTCAGCTTCAAATGTATTTCCATTAAAATCATATTTGTTTATTTTTTTCCAAAGTTGAAAAATAAAATTTTCTTATATTTCAACTGGAAGTAAATCCAAGTGTAACTTACACACTTAGATGATAATATATAGAGAAATTGACATCATATATAGAAAGAATGATTTGTATAAACCATAGCATTATTTTAAATGGTACAAAAACTAATATCATGTGATATGACACAAGAACGTTTTCATGAATATTCCTAATTTAAATTGGAATATATTTTCTTCTTAAATAATCAATATAAATTATCACAATTCTAATAGATTATTTTTTCTATTCCCTATATGTTTATTAAAAAATCTTGAGATAAAATAATAGAAGTTAGAATATTTTTTACATGATATGTTATGCAACTTTCACAAATTTTATTATTTGTAATTATATCTTGATACAAATATTTCTTGACACACTATTCTTTAATATAAGCACATTATTTGGGAAATTAAACCTGACATCATCTTCATTCATTAGTAAATATATTGTTGTTAATTTCACAGTAATATAATCAATAGTAGGAATGTAAGATTGAAAAACATATATAAGATCCTTAGTCTCACAGAATTTTCTTTTTGGAAGGTAGAAATAAATTAAAGAGGTTAATATTCAGAATGTAGCACATGGAGCAACCAAATTACCAGTATCAACGCAACGAAACACAATATAATCTTTGTTTGCTTTTAGAACACACACAACATCTTCCATTAATCATCACCATATTTCCATTTCATTCAGCTAAAGCAACAATTAGAATTAATGGTCATAAGAGATAACATTGGCCACAGGGAAGAATTGTCACTTTTAGTTCCTCATTTTTCACTCCTATGAAAGGTCTACCTCAGAAGACTTCTTTAGAGACGAGAGTATAATTTTGCTGAAATTCAAATAGATACCTATGGTGAGTGTTCTAATTATAAATGTTAAGTGTTGCATAAACTGTGATATGGACAAAGATACTGTCTTGAAAAATTCAAACAGCCTTGTATTCTAGAAAGGATGAAGTGAACAATGAATAACCTTAATTACGGAAGGTCTATACGGACACTGGAATTGATAGAGTGCTGACAGGTTAAGTAATAAAAGCTATTATAAATACCTTCTATACTCATACTATAAAAATAAATACCTTCTAAAATTTGGGTGAATTATTGAACTTACATGATAACATTTTAGAGAAGAAGCGTAATATTATTTTATGTGAATTATTAATATAACACACTGTGAGATTGATAAAAAACATATATTATAACAATATTACACACATGTGATATATATGTGTGTGTTGTGAGTATATATGTATATTATGCATATATATGCACATTTGTATATGCATATATACAGACACATGTATACATATGCCTATTAAACATATACAAGCACAGATACTATGTATGTATTGCACACATACTTTGTTTTTAAAAGGTTTTTTCTGCCACAATCTTTTTAAGAGTGAATGAGAATATTATTTCATTTGTTGAAGCAATTATTGTATTTTCAGGAGTTAGAAAATGATGATCACTTGAATGACTCTGGCCATGAATTATGCATACTGCATAGCATATACATATATATGACTTATTAAATTTTCTTTTTTAGACTAAAATATAAGTTGGAACTGGATGCAAGATGCATGGTAGTCATGTAAATCAATGGTCCCCAACCTTTATGGCCACCAGGCTCCAGTTTCACGGAAGACAATTTTTCCATGGACCAAGGGAAGATGGTTTCAGGATGATTCAAACCACTACATTTATTGTGTAGTCAGACCTCTCTGCTAGTGATAATCTGTATTTGCAGCTTCTCTCCAGCACTAGCATCATAACACAGCTCCACCACAGATCATCAGGCATTAGATTCTCATAAGAAGCACATAACCTAGATCCCTCACATGCACAACTTACAGTAGGATCTGTGCTCCTATTGAGAATCAATGCCACTACTGCTCTGACAGTAGGCAGAGATCAGACAGTGATGCAAGCAATGGAGAGTGGCTGTAAATACAGATGAAGCTTTGCTGCCACCTCCTGCTATGTGGCCATGTGCCCATTACTGGTACCAGTCTGCAGCCGGGGGGGGGGACTACAGATATCAATAGAGAGATAAGTTTGTTTTTTCGTGGCACAAGATGTGAAGAGAGTTAGTTCTCATATTTAATGTGTGAACACAGTGACCTCACATTTTTCATTTTTATATTTTATGATTCCAAGAGCACTCTCTTATCTTGCTCATATAATGTATTTGTTGGAATAAAATTACAAGAACTTTTTCTTTTTAGGTAATGAAAATATTATACTGCATTTATTCGGTTGCATGCATAGTGGGTACAACTATACTTCTGGGTTACTATTTGGAAGAATAAAAAATCTTAGATAATATTTCTAAGAAAAAATGGAAAAGTATTCACATTTATCTAAAATGGTGAAGTGAATACAATAAAATGGTTTGGTGAGACATTCAGTTGTTATGCCTTTTATATGATTGGTGCTTTATGGTAATGGTTAACATCCAGTACTCTGAAACCAAACTTGTTCAGCTACTAACTAGCCATCTAATATTGTGATGACACAGTTTTATGCCTCTCAAATTTGTTAAAAATTGTAATAAAAGTAGTGAAAATGGCATCATTGTTTTGTTTTGGACTTTAGAGGAAAGCTTCAATTTCCGCATTCGTATGATCTTAGCTGTGGGTTTGTCATATATGGCTTTATTGTGTTGAGGTACATTCCTTCTATACCAGTTTGTTGAAGGTTTTATCATGAAGGACCACTGAATTTACTGAATACTTTTAAAAAGAATCTATTGAAATATCATATGTTTTTTGTTCTTGATTATGTTAATGTGGTATTTTATTTACTTTATTTATTTGCATTATGTTGAACCATCTTTGTATTCCTAGGATGAGTTCTACACGATAATGGTAATGATCTTTTTAATGTTTCCTGAGTTTGTGTGTTAGTATTTGTTGCAGATTTTGGCATCTATGTTCATTGGGATATTGGTATATATTTTCTTTGTCTTTGTTCTGTCTTTGTCAGGTTTGGTATCATTGTATGCTGCCTTATAGAATGAGTGTGAAAGTATTCCCTCCTTCAATTCTGAATAGTTTAGATAAAATTGGTATTATCTTTTAAAATGTTGGCAGAATTCAGCAGTGAAGCCAGGTCCTGGACTTTGTTTGATGAGAGGATTTTTATTACTGCCTTGATATTGTTATTCCATTATTGGTCTGTAGATTTTCTATGTGTCTATGATTCAATCTTACTAAGGTGTATATGTCCAGGCAGATTTATTGATTTTTTTTCTAGATTGCTAATTGTTTGGCATATAGTTGTGCATAGTAGTCTCTTACTATCCTTTTATTTCTGTAGATCAGTTATGTCTTCTTTTATCTTTGACTTCTTTCAAAGAAGATCAGAGGTTTCTCTTTTTTTCTTAGTTTAAATCCATGCATTTACAAGCAAACAATTTCAACAAGGCACCAAGCAACGCATTGGGTATCAGGCAGTCTCTTCAATAAATGTTCCTGACAAACTGGATACCACATGCAAAGCATGAAAGTAGACCTCTATCTCTCACCATATACGGTAAATCAACTCTAATTGGATTAAACACTTACATGTAAGACCTGAAACTATGTAACTACTAGAAGAAACATGCACGAAACAGTTCATAAGTTAGACAACAAAGATTTTTTGAATAAGACTTCAAAAACAGGCAATAAATGCAAAAACAGACAAATGTATTGAATCAACCAAAATTCTTTTTACGTAGCAAAGAAAATAATGAATAAGATAAGAGACAGAATGTGAAACTATTTACAAATTATGCATCTGATAAGTATGTTATATCTAGAATATTAATGAACTCAACTCAATAGCAAAACAAAAACACTTCAGTTGAAAATGGTGCAAGAAGTATAAATAGACATTTCTCAAAAGAAGACATACAAATGGCAAACAAATATGTGAAAAATACTCACATCATTAATTATCAAAGAAATGTAAATCAAACACAATGAGATATCACCTCATCCCAGTTAGAATGGTTATAATAAAGAGAGAAAAAATTGCTGGTGAGGATGGAGAGAAAGGGAACTCAAACACTATAGGTGGGAATGTAAACTG